AAATATATTGTTTATTTTGACACAATATTGCATTATTACCATTGTCCCTTCGTTTGGTTTGTTTATTACTCTTATTAATACCAATTTCATTCCCTTCCTCATTTTCCTTTTCTTTGTAAACTTCATTGACTATAACTGCAAGGATAAAAAATAATAGTGACGTTGAATTCCTAAATTTACAATAATAATACCAATTTCTTTCCCTTCCTCACATTCCTTTTCTTCGTGACCTTCATTGACAATAACTACAACAATGAAAAAGAAATAGTGGCATTAATTACAGTAATATATGAATACCTTTAACACACTCGTCAGTTCCTTGCTTATCATGGCAACCATTATCATCACAAACAGTAACTGCATAGAGCAATAATAGTAATCACATTATCAAATTTAGAGTAACAATACCATGTTCCTTTCCTGCTGCACATTTCACCACCTTCCCTACTACATTTACAGCGAAAAAACAAGTAATACATGTGTTAATGTATAAATTCAAAAGTAATCTTATAAAGAAAATATCAGGACTAGACACAAGCAAAAAATTTTTAAGTGATGCAAATTTCATCAACTGCCCAATTTCATATGCTAAAAAGTCTTGAAAAAAAATTCTGTAAAAATCCATTTATCATGGTAAAAATATGAAAAAAATCAATAAACTTGCAAAAACAATTTTTTGGGGAAATTCATTAAATTTAAAGCTCTCAAAAATTTAACGTTATACATAGATAGTTACTTTGCTTAAAGTCTGCAATTATATTCTCTGAGAGTGCCTTAAAAGAAAGTACCAAACATTTATCTTGTTTCATCTACATCGTATGTAACAGAACATTACTTCAATAGGTCATATGAGACAAACTGATACCTTCTTCCCTGGTGTATCTCTTCTAAAGTACCTAGGTACATTTACTGCACCGAGTGAGGGATTTTTCTTTACAGCATCTCTCAACTTTTGCTTTGCTGCAATCTTCATGCAAGGTACCTTTTCAAGTTTAATAGCCACAGCATCGTCACTTTTATATGTGGTAACTGGTTGAACAAAAGTCTGAACCTGATGGATAAAATTTATAAACATGTTTTAGCTTGTTGTTTAAAACATTGTATTTTATCTATGAATACTAATTCCTTTCAAATCAAAACACACTACACCTAACACATGTATCCAAACTATGGCCATTATAAGCAGAACGACAAATATTATGGTAGTGACCCAGGTTTGGGGTCATTGCCATACAAGAATATTATAATGTTATTATTATTATTTCGGTTGTTGTTGTTGTTCTGCTTCTTCTTCTTATTATGATTATTACAAACACACCTTTCTACTACTTTAATATTACTATTACTAGCATGCTCTACCTCTATTACAATTACTATTACAAATGAAATTTAATGTATCTATTGTAATGAAGATCATGTTAATAACAAACAACAAGAGGAAAGGAGTGACAAAGAAAGAGAGAGAGAGAGCCATACAATCAATGAATCACCACATGCATACTGAGCATGCGCATTAGGTTCACAGTATATACAGTACACACACAATGTAAACAATGATGTCCAGTCACTTCATTACACTACTATTACTATTACAATACATGAACAGTAGAGTTCCGTCAAGTGAATATTTCTCAGACTAAATTTCATCAAATTGAAATTGATGCTTATATGTTGTGTTGAAAGTTTGAGCTGATTCTGATCAAAATTAGATTTTTTTTTACAAATTTTTGACATTGCTAAAGAATGGGGCCAAAACTCCTGTACTATTCATATCTTTCCTGTGAATGATGTTTCTGATTTATAATGAAATTCATTAGAATACTGTAAATGGAAAATTTGTCAGGCTGCCATTATGGAGGTATTGTTCAGGGGCGGATGCAGCAGAATGAAAAGGGGAGTTCAGTCAGGGTGGAAGCGAGATACAGGGGTCGCAAAGCGTGCCGAAATTTTGACCAACCCCCTTTTTTCACGCAGAAACACGCCCTTTTCCACGTATCTAACTAGCTCTAATTACACAATTATTGCTATGAAAAAATTAAATCTAGCATTCTACAGTTAGCCTACAGCTTAGGACTGAGAAGTGACTCTAAGAACTAATCAAATTTTTCAAAGTGAGCCAAAAGGGGGGTTCAAACGAACCCAAAGAACCCCCTCTAGAT